ATGGTACTGGTTTACTTCACAGTATATCATACCCAGAGGAAGTTAGTCATTCCTCTACCATACTCTTTGGGGGCACACCAATGTGTTCGGAGCCATAGAAACATACACTTTATTTATTCTCAGGAGTCACTCTCAAAGAGTATAGAATGGTTCATTCCAAAGATTGTAAAGTCGTGTATTTCTCTCAGCAGGCCTGGCACTTGATAGTCTGGCCACTGTGGTGTGTGGTCTGTCCTGTTAAAATTTTCATAAGTAATTTTAATAACTCTTAGGTGGCCTTTAATCAAATATGGATTTCAAGCAGTAGGTAGATCTGACAAGATGTCACTGAATGTCATTTTCAACTCTAAGATATTAAGATTCTGGTAGAAAGTCATAGGATATGACAGCTGGAAAGGGCCTTTGAGAGCTTCTCATCCAGTCTCATTATCTTATAAGATTTCCAGAGAGGTGGAGTGACTTGTCCAAATTCATGCAGCGAATTAATGGAACCAACAGGGCTGGAAGCCAGGTCTCTTCACTCTTGACCTAGTATTCCTCCATCGCTATGCATTCTTTCTGCATTAATGACTACACAGAAGAGAAGAAGAATGGATTTAAATTAATTTAGGTCATTTGGCATAAGTTTGATTTGTGAGATTAAACTGAGGCAAAGGTTAAAAGAAATAAATGGGGGATAACTGGGCTGAAGCATATTAATAGAATGTGACTGAACAAGTCATTGGAAGTCCAGCATAGCCACATAAGAAGATATAAAAGCAATATAAACTATTCAACCTTATAACTGCCAAGTGCTGAACTCTTGAGAGATGGAAACAAGTTAAGGAGATCCCTAATTGGAATGATAAGCACAATCCAAGCTTTAAAAGAATGGAATGAGAAACACTTACAGACACATATTCCAACAACATATTCCAAAACACACAAAAAAATATATTCTTTTAATTTTCCCTTATAATTTTGTATCAACCCTGGATTGATGTTGCCATGAGAAGTTTCTTTGTCTGCATGAAGATCCTCAGTCTGATCAGGAATAATAGCTACTTTCATTTATTTAGCACTCAGTATGTGACGGACAACTTGGTGCCTCGTATCTATCATCTTAATTTAATCTTTACAACTACCTTCTGAGGTCGGCACTCTTACCATTTTCAGTCTGAAGGTAAAGAAACTTGGGCACAGAAAGCCTAAAGGGATTGTTTGAGGTTACAGCTTGTGATTATAAAGCTTGTGTTTGAATCCTGACTGTGACTTCAGAGCCCTCATGTTTAATTGCTTCATGAGAGCAAACGTTGGTATTCTACCCTCTAGTGGTTAAGAGGTACCCCTGCAGCTGCCATCATCCATTGATTTAAGACCAGGGAATTGTCTGTCTACCACTGAGTAGCAGAATATCCAGTCACCTGCGCAAACAGGTAACAATATATTCTATCCATTTTTCAAGAATAGCAGAAGATAAGTAGACTATATAATTATCATTATTCAAGCACCTACAAAGCCGATACTTGGTTTTTAATAGGTTGCATGAAAACACGTCTGACGTGACCAGTGGCTCTAGCCTACGTCAACCCATAGTAACAAGCGAAATAACTCCCTCTATAAATCCAGTACCAGCCAAAATCTGTGTTTACTCATTAAATCAAAATTGCATGCTGAAACACCTACTAACTCAGCACCTAATTAAATAGAATTTGCAAGTCAATGCCTCATCTCAAAGAGAAGAGAACTCATGGAGTGGCTTCATTCACAAATGACAGCCCTGATATTATCACCTAGCGTTTGAAGCCCGCGTGCCTGAAGGGGAACCGTACAGGTCCTTGCTAATTTACTGGCTGTTGTGAGGTTAATAAGAAGGCTGTCTGCTGGAGACAATTGTGTGAATGCTGCTACAGGACTCTATGCTTGGCAGTGCAAAGCGTTGCCCATTTTTATGGTAAAAGCTTTTTAAAATACACCTACATGCAATCAAACATTATTTCAAAATAATTGACTCAACTTGTGCCAAGCTAATGAGTGGCCTTCTTAACGATTTTGTTCTCCTAATTTCACAAAGGGGTAGCTGAAAGATAGACTTGGGTATTTTTATTTCTTTATGCTCCATGATCTTGTTAATTCTTGAAAATCCACTGGTTATATCAAGGCTTCAAAACCGTACTTTTTCTTAGCACCTTCTGTTCCTTAGTTTTTCAACATACCTGTGTGAAACTTGTACTATATGCCAGCCAAACACTGTGCTCAGGGTTGGGATGTATAGTGATAAAGCCATACACGTGTCTTGCTTTGTGGACAAAAGCACAATGAAGAAACAAATAAATAAAATCATCATAAAAAATCCCATTACCATTAAGTCAATTCCAATTCATGGCAACCCCATGTGTGCCAAAGTAAAACTGTGCCCCGTAGGGTTTTTAGTGGTTGATTTTTCAGAAGTAGATTGCCAGTCCTTTGTTTAGAGGCACCTCTGGGTGGATTCAAACAGCCAACCTTTTCAGTTAGTAGCTGAGGGCTTAACATTTTCTATTACCCAGAGACCCTTTAAGATCATCATAAG